TGTTTAGGTGGTAGTGAGGGGCCTGGAAAAGGGGGGTGGTGGGAGGTACTGTTAGGAACTTCGATGTTATATTCAATTAAGGATTCTAGTGAGCTCCGGGTGACTTCGGGTGAGTTCTCTCCGGAGAGTTTCGGGTGAAGTAGAGAGAGTGGGGGTAGAATGCGGGGCAGAATAGGCAGAGGTTTACGAATAAATTTTCGCTTTTATAGGGACTTTTAGACGTTTTACAGCGAAACACCCCTGACGTTCTACCTAGACAAAATCTGGACTGTTTCTAGACATGTAAAACTAGACTTAAAACAGACAAGTTCTAGACGTCTAGAACGTGTCTAGTCACATGTCTAGAAGTGCCACTTCTAGACTAGTGACTAAATCTTGTCTAGTCCAGTCCAGATATGTATTTGAATAGAACATGTCTAGAACTTGTCTGGTACTAAGATACCTAGCGGTGAAAATATTTTTTCTGGATGATCACTTTAGTGGCACTTACTCTCTGGAAACCGTCTACCTCATGTCTAGAACATTTTTTATTGTACACAACCTTACCTTTGATGGGAGTTGAACCGGCGACCTGTAGATCCGTAGTCGGCGCCGCTATCCACGGAGCCACGGGGACATCTGGAGATAGCGGCGACCGAGACCGATCTCTATCGGTGGACCAGAGGACGCTTGTGGCAGTCTAGATTCAGTCTAGACTACGTATGAAACTGGTGTGCAACTTTGCCGTTTTGGCTAGAGTTTTGTGCAAGTCAAAATTATTTCCGGAAACAATTTACCTGTTTGTTTCAGACAGAATCTAGCCGTATTCTAGCCAGCTTCCCTTGTCCAGTCCTAGAGGTGGTCTAGACACAGCCTGGACAAAAATTGGTGTAGACATGTTCTAGACTGATTTCAGACCATTTTCTCAGAAAGTCCGAGACAAGTTCTAGACAATATCCAAGTAATTGTGTTTTAAACAGGTTCTAGACATATTCTGGACAGCTCGTGCCCAGACAATCCTAGAAGGGACTAGTCACAACCGTGCCAAAAATTCGTTTAGACATGTTCTAAACCGATTCTAGACCATTTTTTAGACAGTTCTAGACAAGTTCGAGACAACACATCAGTACGTGTGTTTTAGACGGATTCTGGAAAAGTCTAGACAGCCAGTGTCTGGACATTCTTGGAGATGAGTTAGACATGCTATAGATTATTGTTGTTTAGACTAGTTTTAAAGCAAATTTAGACATCCATCTAGACTGGTTCTTAACTAATTCTAGACTAAATTTTGTTGATGGTAAGGTCGACAAGATATTGACAGGTTTTAGACTATATCAAGGGCATTGTTAAAAAGGGGTGCTTTGACTACTTCTAATCATGTTTCAGACTTTTCGGTTCTAGGTCAACACTAGACTTATTTCAGACACCACATCTGGACAGACTAGACGTGAACTCTGCTCTTTCTAGACACAGTGAAATTTCGGTTTGGTGTAGACGGTTTCCAGACTGTTTCCAGTCGTATAATCTAGACAGCAAATAGACAAGTATAGACCATTGACAAGTTTTAGACAGATGTAGACAGTGTTCAGACAAATGTTTGTCTAGAACGTGTCTAGAAACTGTCTATAAATGTAAAGAAACTGTCTAGGCAGAACGTCAGGGACCATACTACGGTTTACCTTCAAGAGCGTTAACTCTGATTTAAACGATTTAAACTGAAACCTAACCTAATGTGGGATCACGGACTCTACCCGAACCTCTCCGGAGAGAGTTGACCCGAAGTCACCCGGAGCACCAGAATCCTTAACTGAATATAACACGAAACATTTTGACGTTCATCTTTGTGTTTGTGTGCTCTCCTTGGCTAACACATAATTCGTAACTTCTGGCTAGCTGTTGGCGTGTTTCCCATACTACGCGCGTACAGCTCTCCTCGTTTGCCTACAAGCTAGTCGTGCCCATGTTCCGCTTGGTTGTCTACTCTCCTCTCCCAGCGTAGAGACTGGGTTTGACAGTATCCTTCCTTGGCAGCCATAAACTTCGACCTCCATGCCGTTCTGTCTGGAGGGCAGCGAGGAGGACGAGTCCCGCCCGAGGCCTTGATAGTGCTGCGGGCACAGACCCTTACACGGGATTTCCCGGGGCCTGGCCATGCTTTTTGCCCCCGAACAGAAGCAATGTAGCACGATTTTCTTTAGCTACCCGCGCCTGTTTTCCGCGCGCACTATACCTGCCGCAAGGCCTTTCTACCACTAATACTCTTAGACACCAAACGCCCTCGTGAGCCATCCAAAAGTTAAAATAGCCACGCCACCAAAAGATAACACTATCCACATGAACAGAACGTCTAAGCGTTGACTGCAGCGAAGGCTATTAACCTGTAGATAGTCCGGTACAGACAGACAGACAGAGACACGCATTCAATCTTCACAGGGTGAGTATAAATGACACTACAGCAGCAGGTGCTAGCCAGATCACCATGAAGGCCTCTTTGGTGTGTATCGTGTGCTTCTGCGCCGTCGCGGCGATGGGGCAGCCGCTATTCGAGAACGCCGCATCTCTCTTCGGTCAGGCTGCTGGCAGCATCCTCGGCAGTGCGGGTGCCGGGGCTGGCGCATCACTTGGGTACGTGTTCACATTCACACAACGTAAAGAACGTTAACACTCCGTGTTAACAAATAGACGATCCGAATAAAAGAAAATCTAATACAAAATTATTGCTAATAATTAAATACGTTATTGCTTTCTATAATTAGAGTGGTTTCGACTCTTTTTTCTGAGATTCACGGTCTTGTGCGTTGTTGTCGTCCGTCTTTGCTGACACTGACCCTACACAAAACCCCCAAGGCCGAACAAAATCGGGGACTAACACTTCTTATGAGTTCCCTTGCGAGACAAGGCAGTTGTTGGGCGAATGAGCGGCGATGTGGTGATCGCCCTTGTTTTGGACGAGCGCTAGACCCAGCAACCAGAGGTGCTCGTCGTTGGAGTTGAGGCCTCGGCGGTCCTGCGCCCTGGCCTGGGCCAGCTTCAGGCCAGGCTTGGAGAAAAACTCGGCACCTCCAGGGACTTTAATGAAAATGGCTAGGAATAATATGGTTTTAAATTACCTTTGGTTTTGTTGTCTAGGTTTCACGTTCACTCTGATCTCACCGGATCTCACTTAATTGCAAGAGCGAGTTGTTGCTACTAAGCAACTATTTTTATTATTGTATGATTTCTTCTACAGATTTGAGGCTGAATCACCGATCGGAAAAGTCGGGCTCCACAAGGAAGCCCACGTCGGTGCCGGTGGCACCGTCGGTGCCCAGGCCCAGGGCGCAGCCGGCGCACAGGGCGCAGCCGTGCCCGTCGCACCTGCCCGCCTCGCCCGTGGCTTGAATCCTGGGCCGCTAGTGGCAACCGCGCCTCAACGGTGGGGCTAGAGACAATCGAGGTGTGTGAGCGCGGAGCTTTTCGGCAACCTCTGCGACCTTCCGAGAATAAAAGCAACAGGAAACATATCGGCTTGTACCACCCCTCTTCCGACTTCCCACCCAAACACACTCGCACGGGAAAAATGAATTAGTCGTCAGAACTAAATATTGGTCAATTTCGGGACAATCGGTCAAAAAATTGTTGAGGGAACTACTAATTTGTTATCAAAACCAAGAATATGTTACCAGAAGGTGTTCGGTGCTTGAGCTTACGCATTCTTTCTAAAAGCAAAACCACGAATGGCTCCTGCAACAAGGTGCTTTGTTTTAGTCACCAACTCTTGGCTCTGGCAATGTTATATTAGTTAACACAGCTACCTAATATTTATCGATCGTCCCGAAATTAACTAATAAGTACTTGTGATGATCGATCACTGAGTGAGTGATTGCGAGGGGGCCTCAGCTCTCTTGCAGAGTGTACACCAGATTGTCAATATTGGTAGATTGCCGGAAGAGTATTTGGCTTTTAGGACATAAAATGCCAATAGCTGCAAACGCACACCAAGAAAAATCGTTTCTTGTTTCAAGCAAATTTTTCCTTGTTTCAACTGCACGCTGACACAAGATCAAATCTACTCTTGAAACAAGCTGATATTTTCTTTCGAATAAGAGAAAAATATTATTCAAAAGTCAAAATTGCTTTGTTTTTATGATGAATTACATCTTGAGTCAGCTTGCACTTGCATCAAGAAACTATTTTTTCTGGGTGCTCTAATTTCCCACTGAACGTAGGAAAAGGGCATGACAATTGGACCTGATTGTGTAGAGAT